AACAGCAGGTTGCGGCTTTGGGTATGGCTAATCTGGCCGGCTTGTGGATGGCCTGTGCCATGGCCGCGGGGCAGGGAACTAAACCCTACCCCATCCGCAGCCCATACGGGGAGGACATGGTTGGGTGCTGCGCCGTCTGCCCCCTGCACCGAGCAGACTACAGCACATGGACAGACCCTCAGCTGCCCACTCGTACTACGGGGCTGGCCACGGTGGGGAGCCACGAAAGACCCCCACAGGGCTGCCTACATGGTGAGGAGGGGGAAACTGAAGCAGGAGAGCCTGAAACGACTCTTCCAGCACAAGGAAGAAGGTTGGCTCAGACCAGAAACCACAGACCCTCGGGCCTGTCTCTCCCTATAGCAGCTTCTAGCTGTACTGATGCAGGCGGCAGACGCCCCCGCTCCCCTGCCCCCCAAAAGCTGGCCTGCCACCCCACCCTGTGCCGAATGCCCAGCTCACCCCGCTATCCTCTGAAGACTTGAGCTTCCCACCCAGTGCCTGGTTTCCCCAGCTGCTTGCCCCAGAGCAGAGCTGCCCCACGGCCAGGTGCAGGCAGGGCCAAAGCTGTTCGTGAACGATGTCTCCCTCCTCCTTCTGCGAGTCACCGTGTAAAACGCGAAGCAGAACCGAGCGGCTGTAGGACCGCTCCTTTCATGCACTGGCGTGACCTGCACAACCCAGCCCCTGGTGATCGCCCGCATCTCTCAGTGCCTTCAAAGCGGCTCTTGATTGATGTGTTTCCCTGACTCACAAGCTTCAAGAGGCTTTGAAGACACTGGGCAAGGCTCTGATCTCTCTTATGCTGATGCAAATCAGGAGCAATGGTGCTGACAACAGTGCAATAATCCACACTGATGTCAAGCCAGTAAAAATAAGAGCAGAAACAGAGTTTTGGTCTTTCCTCTGCCTTGAAGGGATCTCAGCAGCACTGTGAAGCAGAGGGCTGCAAACCCTGCAAAGAAAACTCAGTGTAAAGCAAAGGACACGTAGGTCTGTAGAGGGCACGTGTCCTTTCCTGCAGCTAAGGAGGGAAGGGGTATTACGCTTTTTATTTTTTTTAGCCGTTAAGAAAAATAAGACTGAGACTTCGGTGAGAAACTCAAGCTCTCGGCCAACAGCAGCATCAGAGCCAGGATTAGGCCTGGGGAAAGCCCCAGTGCTGCTGGTTTCAGCCTGGCAGCAGCACACAGGGATGTATTCGCACTTCTCCTCTGAGACTGGCTGACGGCACGAGAGCTGCGGGCAGTGCCTGGGTAACACTGATTTAGGAGCACAAGGAAGATGGGTTATCCCAGGGCAAACCAGGCTGTGGGAGGCAAGAGCTGTGACTGTCCCTGGACAGGCAGCACACCAAAAGCTGGGCATCGCCTTTTGTCCGGGGTCCAGGGTGGCCCCAGACTTCCCCTGGGACACGGGGCAGGACCACCGCTCCCCTGTGGGGCTTGTGTTTGGAGCAGCGCCCTGTCCCTGCGCAATGCACGACCACCTGCCCGGTGAAGCCCTGCCTGCCCATGGGCTGCCCAGGGCTGCTGGGCCCCCAGCCACTGCCGTCCCCCCTGTTCACAGCCTCCCTGTCCCCCTCTCCCCAGGTGTGGTTTCAGAACCGGCGAGCGAAATGGCGCAAGCGGGAGCGGTTTGGCCAGATGCAGCAGGTCCGGACCCATTTCTCCACCGCCTACGAGCTGCCCCTGCTCACCCGTGCTGAGAACTACGCCCAGGTGAGCGCATCCCCCCCCCGCCCCCCCGCTGTCTGTCTGTCCTGATGCCTGCTGGACACACCACCTCTGCTCCCAGTCCCCCCAACAGATGCTTCACTTCTTGAGTTCATCCACCTGCCCTCAGGCAAGGCTGCAAGAGCACCGGGGCTATATGGCCAAGCATTGAAGGGCCAGGAGTTTTTAGCGGGGTGTCCTGCCCAGCTCCCTCATGCCCTGGCCCCGAGCAGCCATCTCTAAAGCAGGCACCAAGCCCAGCCCTGCGTGACATAGTGCGACCACCCTTTGGCCACAGGTCACCCCGCTCAGCACATCCTTTTACGCTGTCCTTCTCCCATCACGTGTGCTGCTGCCCACTAACTTCCCACTGATTTGGAAAAGGTCCAAAAGGCTATTTCATGCATAAAAACCAGCAGTTCCCAGGAAGATTTCCTGTTGCCATGCCTAGGTTTCCATGCCCCTTCTTTAGGCGGTTGGACAAAAGCTTTTTTCCCCTGGCAAATTCCCACAGCTGTCTCCCTGCAGTGGGCTGTGGTACGCGCAGCACACTTGGTGACGTGTGAGGATGCTTTCCAAGGGGCTTGTGGGTTTGTCCTCCAAAGGAAGGGTAGCAGCAGCCTTGGGGTATCTGGGGCTGCTCCCAGGGCCTTTTGAGACCATTCCTGCCCCCACCGAGAAGGCAGGTGACACAGCTACCTCCCTGCCTGAGCTTCCTGTCCCAGGAAACCTGTCACCACAGTAGCCTTCTAAGCACTGGGCCAGCCCCCGTTTCACAATATTGCCTTCAGACGCTGCCAGGGCAGACGGGTGTTCGTTAGCTTCAGGGCTTGGCTGTGCCCCCGCAAAGCACTCCCTCCATCCTGCCTCTTCCCGCCACCCAGAATTTGCTTGAGGGCGCAGTTCTGCAGGCGTGATGCTCTGAACCTGAGTTGTCCTCACAGATCTGCTGGGAGTCCTCCCTGCCTGACGCCCCGGCTGTCAGCTACCTCCCCAGCCAGGACCGCACCAAAGCTCCCCCACGGCCAAGCCAGGAGTGTTTGACCTCTCTCCTGCTTGGCGTCTCCCCCAAGCTGAACAAGAAGCCCTTATGAAACAGCTGAGAGATGCCAAAGCAGCTTTTCAAGCAGATGACGCTCTCAGCAGCCTTTTCAGCACTCCATTCTCTTGCCTTTGTAACTTATACTGCTCCCCCCCTCCATACTGCCCTCCTCTCCCAGCCCTAGAGATCAAAAAAAATGAAAAGCAGTTTGCAGGAGGTAAGAGATCAGAGAGGGCCCAAGGGTGAGCAGTGCAGCGGGGCGGTGGGATGAAGGGCTCTTTGCTCTCTCACTTCAGCCAGCTGCTCGCCTCCTCCCTGCTTTTATCCTGTGGGCCCGTGTCCTCCCCCTGCCACAGCACACCTAATCCTGCTGGCAAATACCGAGCCCCCCTCTCTTCTTCTGCAATATCATTTTATGAGTGACACTGCAGGAACCCAGATGGCTGTGCGAGGCGGCCCCGCAGGGCTCTGCTCTGCAGCGACACTTTTGCGTCAGACAACGAGCACTGCTGGGGAGAGGGGCAGGGAAACTGGGGACTGCGGGCAGCTCAGCTCCGATGGGCATCTCTGTGTGGTACAAAAAAGCCTTTGCCTAGGCAAAGCTGCCCCGAGCTGGGGCAGGAAGGCAGATCTGCAGTCTCGTAGCATCTCTTTCTGCCTGTTCCCTCTGTAGTGGGAAGGCCCACGGAAACACCGTGGATGGCACCAGGTTTTATGTGCTGAGAGCATCCCTGCTCCAAAAAGTGCTCACGGTGCAAAAAAATGAAAGAGAAATGGCTGGGAGGGGGAACAGATGAACAGAGAGATACTATGGCAGAGGAGGAGCACAGTCCTGCTCCCCTGCGAGATACGCTCTCACACTCCCTGCCCCTGTCCAGACTGGGATACAGATTTTGGAGGGGACTCAGTGGCTCTGGGGGGACTGTGGATGCTGCTGCTGGCAGGGGCCAGCGTACTATATCCCACCACTCTGGCTGCCCCTCGCACACGGGGCTGCCCTGCAGGTCGGTGGCCGTGGCCGAGGTTGGTCCCGTTTCTGTCTCTGCTCAGGCCAG